GATTCGATTCGATTCACGATTATTATAATTTTTTTTAACAAAATTAGATTTAAGACAAATTATAAATTAAATGTTTCCTTTTATTATTGCTTGGGCAAAATGCTCCACGTTTCTTTGTGAAATTTAAATATAACACTATAATAATATACTAATATAGCACTTGCATATTACTGCTCTTTTGTTGGTTTTGATTGCTTCTATTGTCCTCATTTGTAAATCGTTTTGGATAAAAGCGTTTGCTAAATAACAAAATTTAAATATAATGGAAATGTAAATAACGAAACTAAATAGAAATTTTAAAACAAGCCCCAAATCAAATAAATAAGTAACACAAATAAAATAAATATCTTCATATAAACAAAATAAGGCTTTGTCTGTGCTCTTTCCTTTTAAAATTAGAGGCAACCACTGCATTTTAATCATGATCCAAACAAAGATGCTGCATACATGCAACATGAGCAGTTTTTAATCTAAATTAGACTGTATAATTTCAAAATTTGAAGCAAAAACAGAATGGTCTGACTTTACTTTTGTTAAACTATACTAAATAAAACATCTGAACTAAACAGCAGACGAGCTGAATGAGACGCAGATTCACTCTCTGCCAGCAGGTGGCGCTTAAAGCGTTTCCTTGGTTTCCACTGTAAACAAAGCAGCGCTGCACTTATGAACTTTAATATGCATTCTACAGAGGCAAGATGAAAAGAAAAAATACCATCTAAACTTTTCTAAAGACAGTAAGTTCCCCTCAGACATACATTCATATAAACTCCTAAACCTAATTGAATCGTGATTTGTTTAGCATCTCAACCGATTTGAATTGTCACATATTTGAATCGATTTTCAACCGGCTCGCGGTTAATCGTTACATCCCTAGTAATTACTCACCCTCATATCATTCTAAACCCGTAAGACCTCTGCTCATCTTCGGAACACAAATTAAGATATTTTTGATGAATTCTAAGAGCTCTATATAATGCAACGTTGTTTTCGTTCAAATCAAAGTGTAAACAACATAGAAAACGTATCTGTGTGGTGCAGCTGACACAGAACAGCATACGCCGTTTGCGTTCAGTGGATATTCTCCAAAATGGCACCAGGGTGACGCAGAGGAGACGAATTGTTGAATAAAGTCGTTATTTTTGTTTTCTTTGCGTACAAAAAGTATTCTCATAGCTTCGTAAAATTACAGTTTGAACCCCTGATGTCACATGGATTATTTTACCGATCTCCTTGCCACGTTTCTGGACCTTGATCGTGGTAATTACATTGCTGTCTATGGGAGGGTCAGAGAGCTCTCAGAATTCATCAAAAATATCTTAATTTGTTTTCCGAAGATGAACAAATGTCTTACGGGTTTAGAACGACATGAGGGTGAGTAATTAATGACAGAATTTTCATTTTTGGGTGAACTATCCCTTTAAGCATCACAACTGTTTTCAACATTGATAATAATAAGAAATTATTCTTGAGCACCAAATCACCATACTTGACTGCTGAAAACTCAGTTTTGCCATCACAGGAATAAAAATATATTAAAAAACAGTTATTTTAAATTGTAATAATATTTCACAATATTACGGTTTTACTGCATTTTTGATCAAATGAAAGCAATCTTGATGGGAATAAGAGACTTTCAAAAACATTCTTGCCAACCCCAAACTTCTGAACGTATAAATTAAGTAATAATGGCCCATACTGAATAAATATTTGGTGTACATTTGAAGAAATAGTTCACCCAAAAAATGTAAGTTTGAAATGAAAAATTTCATTATTTACTTTCATGTTTCTCCAAATCCGTATGCATTTCTTTCTTCTGTGCAACCCGAAAAGGAGAAATTGTAAAGATATGTACAGGTTGTTTTTTTTTTCAGCACAAGGTTTTCCAATTTAAAGTGTAAAGAAGCATTATAGCAAAATTAAAATTGAATACTGTATTCCAAGTTTTCTGAATTCATAAAAGCTTAGTGTGAGCAACAGACTGAACAGTCTGATTGAACAAATTATTCAGATTAGTAAGATCAGGCTCATAAGAACGATTCATTCATGAATGGACATCGCTACCTCTGACATGAACTTTCATACAGGAGAGCTAGCGCAGATGTCAAGATTTTTAGTTCCAGCTTAAATTTTCATCTGTTCCTCACACAGATGTATTGTATGACTGTAGAAAACCTGGCATGCAGCGCACAACTTGCATGGATCACTTTTATGATAACTTTTATTGTGCTTTTGTGTTTGTGAATTCAAACTTCAAATTCAAATACATACGTGGTCAGAATTGTTGGTACCCTTGGTAAATATGATCAAAGAAGGCTGTGAAAATACATCTGCATTGTTAATCCTTTTGATCTTTTATTTTTTAAAAATCACAAAAATCTAACCTTTCATTGGAGAATAAGAATTTAAAATGGGGGGAAGTATCATTATGAAATAAATGTTTTTCTCTAGCACACATTGGACCCAATTACTGGTACCCCTAGAAATTCTTATGAGTAAAATATATCTGAAATATATTTTAAATAAAATTTATGTTCTTTTTAAATAAAAGATCAAAAGGATTAACAATGCAGATTTATTTTCATAGCCTTCTTTGATCATATTTACCAAGGGTACCAACAATTCTGACCATGTGTGTATCAGTTATTTTAACAATGTTTATACAGTCTACTTTGCACATGACACATGACTTTTTTTTTATCAAAATTTTGTAAAGCTTGTTGTGGTGGTACTCATACAGAAGTGTGTGTTCACAGATAACAGAGATGGAGCGTCTAGCCCCACATCCCCTCACCAAGGCAATGGAGTCATGGCCCAACCGAAGAAGATCAAGGGCATCGGCTTTGGTGACATATTCAGAGAGGGCTCTGTAAAACTCAGAGTCTCTCAAAGATTACCATCTGACAATGAGGAAAAGAAAGAAAAAGTAAGTGTAGTTCTGCACGTGACAATGTCTTATTTGCCTTCCTTAAAGTCTTTCCTTTTTTTGTAGGGTGCCACAAGTTTGTTAAAATTTCCAAAGGGCGCCGCGACTAAAAAAAGGTTGGGAAACACTGCTCTATACTGCAGGACTAGTACCAATCCCAGAAAATGCAGTATACACTTCACGGTAAACAGAAATCTTTCAGTATTGTAGATGTCACAATCAAAAATAATGTGTGGCTGTAGTTATATATGCAAGATATTCTGGTATTTATGAAGTAGGAACTACCACAAACCAATGTAGCACATAGTAGTGCCTTATTATATAAAATTATAAAATTATATCATTGCCTTGACATGTATGAAAATCAGTGCTGCCCATAGCCAAGAGCAATGGAGCGTTGAATGGTAATTACATGTCTAACTGCTCTACAAGTTTTGCCAGTGATTGCTTGATTGCTCAAGACTTTACCGTATAGGCAGACAGTCTCAAGATGAGACCTTCCTTTTTAGGAAATATGTCTTTCTATTTTTGGACTTCATTATTTAGGGTGGCTGTTTTTGAAGCATTCTGGTATGGACTGCTTCTCTTGTTATCGTTTTTTTCTCTGCACAGCTGGAAGGCATTGCACATTTTAGTTGCTAGACGTGTGCATTGTGTTAACGTTTCTAGAAGCTACAACTTTTTGTTTGCTCTTAGTTTTATAGGCAGCTGTTTGCAACTTCAGTTTCATTCTTAAAGACAGCTTCAAATCAAGATGAACCCTTTTACAACCATAATAAATTCCCCTGGTTGTGCGTGATTCATCAGTGCGCATTACTCTACTGAAAGAAATGTCTCATCAGAACATAATAGTTTGCTTTGAAATTTTTGGTGATGTAACCCATACTCCGTTGGTAAGGAATCTAAGGATATAATACTATATAAATCAATGATATTCGAACTGGGTTACAATTTGAGGCAACATTTTTCTTTTACACAATGAAACACTAAGAATTAAATTTTTCATCGTACATATGAAAAGTTTGTATATTTCTAGGTTGACTGTTGTCGTTAGCTTGCTCAATGGTTTTTCTGCTTTGCAATGATATTTAATGTGAAAAGAGCTATATACAATATATATATACATATATATATAAAATATCTCTCTAGTATTCTGATGTTGGTCAGAAAAAATGTTTTGTAGAAAAACAAAATACAAAGTATTTCCAGATAATGTTTATTAATATGTTCAATTATTTAGTAATATTTATTGCTTACTTTTGTGCATGCATTTTTGCTTTGTGTATACAACGTTTTCTTCATAATATCATGCTTTTTAAAAAAAATTCTGCACACACACACACACACACACACACACACACACACACGTGTAAATGAATGAATGAATAAATTTGTCTTTATATTTGGGGGTTCTTTTTCATTAAAACGTTTGGAAACCCCTAATATAGATATTATTAATAACAATAATTTCATAGCACATGATTAGTGGAGATGTAGCTTGGTTAAAATCATCCCCATCCTACATTTCTCCCTTAATTTTCTGTTTCACTTAGTAGTACACTACCATTCAAAAAATATGGGATCGTTAGCATTTTTAAATGTTTTAAAAGAACTCCCTTTCACTCACCTAGGCTGCATTGATTTGCTCAAAAATACAGTAAAAGCGGTAAAATTGTGAAATGTTATTGCAGTTTTTTTAAAATGTCATTTATTTCAGCAGCCAATACTACAGTCTTCAGTATCACATGATCCTTTAGAAAGCATTCTTATATGCTGATTTGGTGTTCAAGACGCATTCCTTTTTATGATCAATATTGAAAACAGTCAAAGGAGCAGCATCTATTTAAAATGGAAATCTTTTGTGATATTATAAATCTTTACTGTCAGTTTTGGTTATTTTAATGCATGCTTGTTGAATAAAAGATAAAAACTGATCCCAAACTTTTAAATGTTAGTGTACATCATGTTATAGTTGTTAAATTTGCCACAAATGACCTTCCATGTTATGCTTTAAGTCATTTAGCTCTGTTTACAATATTAATGCATTTAACCAATACTTCCTTTCTCCCTTTTTGTCACATTTTGCATCCCATTATGTCATTCAGTTCAGTTGAATCATCCACTACGTCTCTTATCAAGAGCTCAAAGTTCATTTATAACGTCATCATGTGATGTCAGATGATTTACTAAATAGTTATAGATTATTAGTCTGTTTTGGATAAAAAAAAAAAAAAAAGTCTAAATGACCCCAAACTTTTTAACCTGAAAAACAGTCTAAGAAAAAGTATGAATGTACAAAAAAAAAACACAAAGCCTACAGGAGACTCATTTTAAAAGTCCAAC